GTAGAAATTAATTAGCACATGCAAATGAAGATTACTTTTATTATACTGTACCATAGTTCCTAATTTATTATTCCAAAACATACAGCTGTTTTAATATTGATTTTTGAAAATTCTGTGTCTTAGTCACATGCAAGAAGTAGACTTGTATGAGCAAGCCTGAATAAGGAAATTTCTAATGAGATTAGTATTTACTTGGAGTGTGTTTCATACTAAATTAGGGGTACCCTATTTTTATTTGTCAAAGCTGTGAATAATTATTACTCAAAACTCACTATAGAATATAGTTTGGCTTTGCTGAAAGGTGGGAGGCAGCTTCAGCTTTTGTGCTAAACCCACTGGAATAGGAAAGTTGGCACTTTACTTGTTTAAATCCTTAAACCACAAAGGTGGTAGCTTATTTACTTTATCAGCAAAATTGTATTCACAGCTCCTCAATGTCACTCACCTGGGTAAAGTTCTCTCAGCTAGTAACACCCTGGGAGTTGGAAGTTAGGTTTTATTCCTAAGATTGCATAATACTATTTTGACTTCCTACAGTAACGAGTTTCACACAAAGACCTCAAAGTCTCTGAGCAACCTTTAATGTAGATAAATACAACTGTACCTATAAAGTAGAAGCTCAGGCGGATTTGCTCAACACACAGGGAGAACTTGCCTGTGATCACATAAAATGTATTTTATCATTACGATGGCCAGCTGCAGCAGAGCACCTTTACAGGCTTTATAAACCAGGGAGGTTTTACTATTTCCTGGGACTATAACTAAACAGATTCTATATATTTTTTTCTTTCACACCCTGTGTACCAATTACAATACTCACACAGAATTCATTACGTTTTCTTTAATTCTCCACTACAAAGGATCCCAGAGAAAAGCCATATCAAATCTGGTAGTATTGTGTCAAGGACCTGTGCAATTTTCTTGGTTAGACTGCTCAGGGAATTATCTTGGCTTGTGCTATAGAAATTTGGAATTATCCTCTACCTTTTTCAAAAATACCTTAAAATTATCTACCTACAGCCAACAGCTGCTTCCCAATGTGCCTGCCAGTTTCAATGAAGAATCTCTTCAACCGCCTGCAGAACCCATTTCTGGTATCACTACATCCAGCTTTACTGAAGGAAATGCAATAGTTTTAAGATCTATGTTCATCACTGAAGGCTCATGGAAGGAGAATAGAGAAAGTACAGTGCCTTCTACCCCGTGCACAACAGCAATACCTATCCTATGAGCAATGTGGAGACCTGCTCCTTACTTCGAATTATAGTGTATTTTACCTCTTCCTCTGTCACCTTTGAAAGAAAAGAAACTAAAGCTCATGATTATCTGTAATAGTGAGAAACTTTACAAGTCACAAACCCCATCCTTTGAAAACTGACTGTTGTGTTCCTTCCAATGACTCCTTCCCAAAACTCTTGGCAAACTCGGTCCCTTCAGACACCATCTGGGTGTCAGCCCAGGGTGCAGGAGCAGAGCATGGGCTGCCCCAGCAGCACAGCTGGGAAGGAGGCACAGCCACCCTGACTCACCTCATTGGCAGAGTAACAAGTCACAGCAAGTAAAATTCCCCAAAAGAAGCAGAAGCTTAGAAGGGTTTAATGCTGTTTTACTTTATTTCTACTTTATTTCGCTCCTTTGCATTATCCTTATTTTTCTCTTTGGTTTAGCAAGGAGCTGGTGTGGCCAACTGTGCTGTGCTCTCTTTGACAGGGGCTCATGATGACCACAGGGCTCACCTCTGAGGGAGCCAATCCTTTCAGCTTTCATCTGATGGGCTGCTGCAGAGCTGGTATGACTTCTGAGCTCAAAATTACCCTGAGCAATGGCTTAAAATATGGCTTAAAATGGCTTAAATCACGTCACAGAAATTATTTGATCTCACTCATTAAGTAACAGTTGCAGATTACTGAGGAAGCAGAATTAATGAAAGTAGGAAGCTGGTTCTTTTATTTATCACACGAGAGTGAGAAGTAAATGTTTTAACTCTGTACAGAAGCATAATATGGTGATATATAAAAAGGAAAACAGAAAGACAGAATGCAGTCTGTTCACAAAAGAGCTTTGTGTGAAAGACTAAAATTTGAATATTTCCAAATACTTATTTTTTTATTTTCTGGGGTAGTATGTAGGCTTCTCATCAGCTTCCCCAAATAAATAAAATATTTTTTTTTCAAATAAATTAAAATATTCCTGATGGAAAACCCAATATTGGTGAACAAAATTTTCCTAAGTGACTTGAAAACACCAGCAAAACAAGTTGTACAACATCCAGCCTCTTGTAATCAGAATGTGTAAGGTGTTTTAACCTCTCTGTTTATGTTATGCATTCATTTGAGGAAATTTTTTATGAGCTTGAGAAATCCTTAGAAATTTGTTGTTCTTTGATCCAAGTCAGCCTATGTTTTTCTGAGTTTAAATTCTACATGTACCTAATTAAAGCACACAGAAAGTCAAGGAAATACAAAAACATGCTTCAAGAACAATGGTCAAAAATACAAACAAATACCAAAGATGGGAGCCACTGATCAACCTGTAGAATTGAATACTGTGCTCTTTAGATTTAGGGCATGAAAAGTATATTTACAGATTCCTGCCAGAGTTTTGTAAAGCATTGTTTCATCCAAGACTGGCTGTGTGTCCCACTAAGGAGGAACAGCAGATTTGCTTGCAGTTGCACAGATGTATGGAAATGGAAAGCTGGAATAGGTGCACTGTGGTGTGAATGGGATTGCTCTTCTTCACCACAAATCCCACTCTGAAAGAAAGGGTGCAGATCTTCAGTAAATCTGCACCTGGGACTTGCTGTATTCCAGAGGACAGTCTCACTGCATGGGACTGGGACTGACTTCTGCAACCCATTTGTAAGTTAAAATCCTCTGCCAGATCTGTTGCTTCATTTGGAGCTAAGCCACAGGATTGCAATGTCAACACAATTCATGAGTTGACATTGACATAATATAAAAATACATTAATCTATTACTATCTCTTAATTACTTAACAAAAATCTTCAGCACATTTGCAAACATTTTCTTTTAATAAAAATAACTTTTTAAGTGTAGAAAAACTGGAGGACGCAGTGGGAGATGAATGGGGGAATGTGACAACTTTTACAAAATGTTTGCATCAAGAATACATTTTTAATTGAAGAAACATGGCTCATCTCTAGCAGATGTATCTGCACAAATATTGACAAATTTTTATCTATATATCATAGGAATTGCCTAGAGGCAAAATTATATAAATCATCATTTATAGAAAACTCTAGAAGGAATTACTTCCTGTTTTTTAAAATTCATCTCAACAGCAAAGAAAATTGCCGTAAGAAAATTGCCCAAGATTTTCCCTCCTGTACATATGCAAATATTTTTCTCCCTTTACTTGACATTTACTTTGTTCACATCCACAATATGGCCCTTCCTTCTCTGTTGGAGAGGGAGGACAAGAAACCCAACAAGTTAACAGTTTATGTTCCTAATCTGTAGTTCTTGCATCTTTTTCCATTTATGATCAGTGTTTATATTTACATGGGAAGGAAATGGAAGGAAGGAATACCAATAAACCTAAATCTTTCAAAACAATTATTTTGGCTTTTCTCTTCCTTTGGGCAAAAAGAGGGAGCACAAACTCTGGGTGTGGGTCAGTCTCCTTTTGCAGAGTTTGGGTCTTTACTGCTAAACAATTGTGTCCCTAGCTGAGAACCATCCAGAAAAGTACTGGGAAATAAAAATTCCCAACTTTAAAAGGCAGCCTTACACCCATGAGTGTAAAGGGTGCCCCAGCTTGTTATTATCACCCCCAACATCAGCTTTCACTCCAGAGAGTTAGTGCAAGTCTTGAAGGCAGCCAACAGGATAACAAAGTGTTGTGAGTCCAGGCAGTAAAAAGGAAATGCTGCCCCAATTCTATCTAGTATAATTTTGCACACACTCAGAAGTACCACACACCCCCTACAAATCCCTTCAAGTGGCTCATGATCCTCATAACACACTGGTTAGGAGAGGCAAACTTTCCAATACTTGATGAATTGGCATTTAAATACCAATTTCAACACCTGCAAAGGTGTTTAGAACAGAATTTGAATTTCTATTTTAAGACAAATGCAAATTTAAGACACAGTAAAAGGCAGCAGTAGTGTCTTCAGAAGCAGTACATGTGGGTAAGTATCCAGGATTTAAATGAGATTGCATGCTTATGCAACTTAAAACAACTACCCAACTGTGATGGAAGTACAGTCTACATAGATAATGTGGTTTTGCTATTCCCCTACCTGCATCTTGTGTAAAAATGGTCTGATGGCAGTGGCTGGGTTCCTTACTGCCAGCTGCTGAGGGAAGGGGAGCATCTTTGCATGCAGACAGACACCCCCATCCAACCCAGCACACCCTCAGCACTGGGCAGCACCATCCCTCCAAAGCTGCACATTCATGCAGGGTTCAAAAGGAGGAGAAAATCCCCACCATGCTTCCCTGTCCCCTTTTTCCCTGTCTTTCACAGCACATGCAGGCAGAAGTCCCTGGTTAAAAGCATACTTTTAGCATATGTGTAAAAGTCCTTCCAAGAGTTGTGATTTTTGGCTCACAGTTTAAAAGAAAATGGAGAGCAACTGAAGGGAAATAGGAGATATATTGTGGATTGAAGCTGCATCAAACACAATTCACTGCAGGAGGCTGGAGGCTATGCCAAGCACCAGCAATGGAACAGAGAATTTTTTCATGTGAGCTGTAGCAAAATACTCTTTAAAAAAATAAAAAAGACCTGAAAGTGAATAGGTAGAGAACTGATGTAAAAACCTGATTCACTAAGGGCACAGGCTCAGAAGCAGCACTTTGGTTTATATTCCCACCACTTGCTGCTCACAAAGAGCAGGGAACATACGACACAATGACTGATAACAGACCTCATGAAAAGGAATGCAGGAACTGGATGTTGTTAAGGGATTGCTGTAGCAAAATGGCTGACCCAAAGGCTCACAGCTGCCAATGTGCTTTTTTTACTTGCAGGTTGGTCTCTCCAATGCCAGCAGATGAAAGGACATTCAGTTCTGCTCTGAGCAGCATTTTCATTTCCTCTGGGTCTTGTGGAGCTCCTGCCGTTGACCAACTCACTCTGCAGCCATGCCTCCTCATCTTTCGGCATCTCAGACACCCACAGGTCAGTGGATTATGGAATATTCTTTAAAACAAGTTGTTGTTGGTTTTCTATCATACAGCAGCCTTTTTCCTAGATGGGTGGGATTAGAGCATTCCTTACCTTCCCTTTAGGGTCTGTGAAATGGGACTCAAAGAGTGCTACTGTAGGCAAGGAGTAAAATGCATAGCAGCTACTGCAGCCATCCCATAGTATTTTACACCACCACTTCACCAAAATTCCCTGGTATCTTTGGCATGATAGAGCAATGAACCCTATGGTGTTTCAGAGACCTTTTAGGACATTTGCCAGGCAAGGCAGACCTCCACTGAGTCAGTTTTGCACGGCCTGGTTCTTTGTATTGGGGAGGGCAACAGAGGTGCTATTCTCCCCTTTGGTAACATTCTTTTTCTGAGATCATGTCAGAGTTACTTGGAAATACAATTGTACATTACCAGAAAACATGCCATCACTCCTTTTTACCTTTGGTACAGAAAAGGAAACACATTAACACTTCACAAAGTCACTGGCTCTGAGCAGTTCTTCCCATCTGATTACAAAAGCCAGTTTTGTTACTTCCAAGACTGATAAATGGTCAATTGGGAATTAACTTTTTCTGATAGAAGAAGCTGGTGCCAAACTAAAGGCTTTTGAGTTTCCTTATCATTAGAATCAGAGCTACCTCAGTTGCTATTTTGCTTGCAACCTTTATCATTATACTAGGCAGATCAAGATAGCCTGAACTCTGTAGAACCTAAGCTCCAAGCCCAAATCCAAATATCACAGTTTCTGCCTGTCTGTTTCTTGTGAGTTTGAAGTCATCAGCGTTTGAGATAATTTTTCATGGCAGAGGCAAAGTGAAGCATCAGAGCTGGCCTTTGCAGGAAAGCAGAACAGATCTGACTGGAGCCAGTAGAGACTGGCAGAAGTGCTAAGGAGAGCCTGTCACAACTCACAGTGTCTGTTGGGACAGATAAAGCATACCCACTTGCATGAAAATGTGGGGAGGGAGGGAGGGAGGAAGACATAAGAAAAGGATTAAAAACTAAGCAGAAGTATATTTATACATATAAGAATAATGCTAGTGTGTGCAATGCACATATGAAAGCTAACAGTACTGTGTTTAATCATTGTGTTAAAAGCTTTGAGGAGGTCAACTCAGGTCACAGAGCAGAGATATTGTGAGATTATGAGAACAGAATAGAGAAGAAAAGTCTGTAGGAAAGGGAAACGAGAAAGTCAAGTGAAAAAAGGACATAACTTTTGGGGGAGGAAGCCTTAAAAGAGATGGATAAGATAAGAAAACTAATGCAACCTGACTTCTTCATTTCTTATTAATGTGGAGCAAAAATTATAATGAGGATATGTGAGAGATTACAACAAACATATTGCAGGGGCACCTAGGAGAGAGAGAAAATCCCTGAATCACTTGCCAAGTAGATAAGGAGGCTTTGATATAAAAATAGCAATGACTATCAGCAGCAGATTCTTAGTACCTTTGTTCCTTTTCCAAAGAAAAGCCCATCAAGTGAGAGCTTGTATTTCCAGTTTCATTTCTGATAACAGATCTACCTCAAAATGAGACCTCAGGCTCTGGGGCACAGCTCACTGTACAGGACTTTTCCAGCACTCCCAGCCTTCATTTTAATACCCTACACTTTACCAACTACAGAATAAAATAAAAGCCTATCAAATGGAAAGTTTAAAAAAAACAACTCAGGTCAAAAACTCTGGTTTGGCAATATACTTCAGCAATGGCCACATGCCAAAAGGATTAATCCCTGGGATGCTGTGCCCTGTGCTGGGGTGGTACTGCTTGGCAGGAGCAGAGGGTAGAGCAGGACTGCTCTGCTTCTGACAGCCTGGGACAGCCAGGGCTTCATCCCAGCTCCCAGGGAAACCCAGCACAGACCAAGAGAGAAATTGCCAGCAGTCAGAAAAAGAAAACTCTCTGAGGTTTTCTCAGTAGCAGCAATCTCCTCTGGACTGTCCCAGGGCACACTGTGACCTCTAGCTTTCCCCACGTTTGGCTGTGCCAGCCTGTCCCCTCCAGGAATCTCCATGGCTGAGCAGGAGGAGGTAGGGCAGGGTGCTCCAGCAGCCCTGTGGTGTCTCTGATCTCTCTGACAGCCAACACTGCAGAATTTCATTTTCCCCATTGTGCTGTCATGTCAAAATGAGAGGGAGTCATGTGTGGAACTGCTCTGCAGCCACGTTACCCTGGCAAAAGACAACAAGAAGCTGCTTCTGGGTTCAGCACAACAGTGTTGAGCCTTAAGATCATAAGTAATATGGTATTAACTTTTCCATGATACGTTTTCAGAACTTTCACTTTAATAAAACAACATGTTCCCCAGAGCACAAGACAGCAGTTTTTTAGCCAAATAGAATTAATGAGGCTGAGTGATGTTTGCATCTTTTGATATTCTCAATCCTGTGAGCAGATGTGTTTATGTTCAGCAATCTGAATAGTACAGAAAACATTCATTTTTACCATATCACTTCAGCTGAGCTTGAGTTAAAGACTAAAAAATGTAGTGCTTTGCTTTATTATAACTAATATTACATCTGGAAAAGAATTTTGGTTTCCTGTTCCCAGTTTCTTCATTTTTGTGCACTTTTAAACACATATACATGTGCCAGCATATTTCACAGGCCTTTTGATGTTTTATTATCTCTGTATGTGGGCGGTTTGTTTCCAGCTATAGTTTGAAGTGCAAATTTCCCTCTCAGTTTTTCTATGTGAAGGTTAAAAATACAGTCAGGAAATATCTGCCACGTGTTTTCTTTCCTGGGTTTCTGAAGCAGAAATCTAAAACCAGGTACTTCTCTTCAAATATTTGCATTATTTTAAAAAAATTCTCCAACAAATAATTAAATAACAATCAGCTGTTAAACATACAGATATTCAAAGCCCACTGTCCCTAGATATTTCTCCATATCCCTGAAGAATTAACTGTAAGGCATGCCCTGATAAAAATCTCCTGGGAGCAACAAGCATAGCAGCAAAAGGAATCACAACGGGTTGGAGATTAACTCAGCATCTGCTGTTTGCAGCCCACTGTGTGCTTCTGGGGCTTTGCATCTTATTGTGACTCATATGGAAATGAGGAGATGGATCCCAAACAGAGCTTTGCTTTCAAAATCAGACATAAAATAATCTATTTCTTAAATGAGCTTTTCCCTCTGACATACTGAAAATGAACATAAAAGTGTTAGCTATGAGTTATTATTCATTTTTTATTCTGTGTTCTTGCGAAGCAGGACAGCATTTTCCCAAATCTGTTGGTCCATTGGTCAATGGCAGAAGCCAAACATTATAACATTGGAATTTTGATGTCTAGGGGACTTTTTAAATTATATCAGCTGTTCTGTACATGCCAGTGAAGAAAGGAGGAGGGAGCAGGTTAAGTATTTTGTTCTCTATGTCTGAAAAATAGGAGTGTTCTGTATGGAAAATAATATGTAAAAGCAATCCCAGCGCCCTCAAGCTTTAAGTGCTGTCACAAAGATTACTCAAGGGCCAAAGGGAGCTTGCTGACTTTTGAAATTAGCACTTTTTCAAAAGACAAAAAGTTGCATAAGGGTCTTTGCAGCAAGCAGGTGTGAGCAGGGTGGTGCTGCCCCTGGGCCAGCCAGGCTGAGGCAGCTCAGGGCAGCCTGGCAAACATTCTGTGACCACTTCTGCCTAGCAAAGGGCAGCAGGGACAAAAGTGGGGTTTGCTCAGTCACATTTTCTCCCTGTAACAATCTCGAGGCACTTTGTGCCCTTTATTGCTGCAGCAGCCTTGTGAAGGAGTTGTGCCCCCTCACTGAAACAGTCAGACATTGAGAGAAAACAGCTAAAAGGTAGATTTTTATTCCCAACTTCTTTAACTTCACAACTATGAAGGTGATCCCTGTTAAGCTTCATGAGAACAGAGAGAAATGTGACTTTCAGGCTGTAAATGCTCCTTTTAATGATGCCAGCAGAGCAGGGCTGAGGCAGCAGCTGCAGAGGGGTGGTTCTGAGTGACCTGACCCAGACTCCTGATGTGCTGCTCCTTCTCCAGGAGGTGGCTGCTCTGCTGCTGCCAAGCAAAAGCAAAATAGGTGCAACACTGATGATGAAAAGGTGGGGTTTTTAGATCCATGCTGGCCAATGGTATAGGATTCTTAATCCAGCAAATGCTATGTTGACAGAAGTGAATTCAATCTGAAGACTGGTCTTTCCTCTACATCTTTGGATTCCTTTTGCTTTGTTAATATTCTTAACACTTTCCCCACAGACAGACTCTTTTCCAGTTTCGTGACTGTTTCTCCTTTCCTTACCTGTGACTTTCAGTATCCTTTAGCCACTGTTGTGTAGCTAATTTATTGACATCATCTTTCTCTCTCCCTTCTCTACCCTCTCTTTCAGCATGATGTGAACTGTGTATTTTCCACCTAGGCCAGACTGTAAGAGTGTCTTTTCATTTGTGGGAGATATGAAATATTAAAACAAACATTCCCCTGCTTCACTCTCTGTAAGAGCTTAAAGGAGCTATTACAGGGATTATTTTTCCTCTACTTACTGGAAAACAAAGATAAAAATGTAGCTTTCAAGTAGGTCATTTAATCTTGGAACATTTAATTGTGAGGTTGCCAGCCATGATTTGATTTCTCATCTTCTATTATTCCAAGGTTACAAACCTTCCAATTCATTTATATTTATAAACAATGTTCCCACTATATTACATGCATGGATTATTAGGAACACCTCCCAGTGGAGTACTGTCAACTTTTTTGTACATAATTAATTAGAAGCCTCAAAGCTACCTTTTATCAAACTTTCACAGAGGTTTAGCATATCAGAAATCTCAAAATGAAAGAACTCTGTTTAGACCAAAGGGCTATCCAGCTTACCCAAGTAAGGAAATACTTTATATTTCATGGGATTTAAAAAAAATAAATTAAAATAATTAAAGCCAAAGTGGAAATCACGTAGGGAAGAATGTGGTTGCAGTGATAACAGAATTATATTTCACAGTAAAGGAAGCCAAACC